TTTAATTTAAACAGTAATAAAAACGCTCATTTAATATATTTCATAATACATTTATAAAAAATAATTATTTATTGATTTAAAATTAAAATAAAAAAAATTTAAAAATATAATTATACATATAATATGAAAAAATTGACTGCACCAATTATATTTTTATATATTATATTTTGATAACTAAACTCACTAAATATATCATAATAAAAAATGTGTGAATCATTATTCTTTTAATTTATATAATACTTTATTATTCTGGTTTGGCTTATTTTCTAAGTGCATCAATTCTGCCTTGCAGTCGAAATCACTGACGGATCAAGTACAGATCTTCATCAAGAACTCGGCAAAGTTATTCGTTGATAACGGAGCGAATTCCGTACATCAGCAAGATCAAACTCTCTATTTATTTTCAATAGGGACATACGATTATCTTTCCAATCTTCGTAATATAAAAGATAAGCAATATGTTCAAGAAATAGCAGAAAATGTTACAGCAGCAATAGTGAAGCAAGTTAAGGTAATATATTCGATCCCAATTAATCATGAATAATATATGATCATGTGGAAATAAGTACGTCCGTACTCATAAGTATAATCGATTTAAAATTAATTAATTAATCTTGTGCATGCTAATTTTTCAGGAAATAGCAGAACGTCAGGGTGTGAATGGAAAAACATTTGCGTTTATGAGCGTTGCACTACGCTATTTACCGGTTGTGCGAAAAACATATTACAAGGACCAATCGCGGCTGAACTTGCTTCATGAACTGGAAGATACCCACCATGACAAACTTACAGATAAATTGAATAACTTAGCTCAAGACCTCAAGGCTGCTGGTCAGGGTCACATTATCAACTATTCAATACTGAAATACCACCGCATAATCAGGGATATAATGGAGGGACCTGAAAATTATGGTAAGCCATGCACGCACCCTAGTTAACTTAATGTTTTAATTAGTTAAAAACAGGGAGTTAAGATCTATTTCTACACAAACTCTTATACATATTACTAAATAAAATCTTGATTGAGATTTAACTATTTTTAATCTTACTTTTTAAAAATAATTGTCTTTTTTTAAAAAAAAAATAATAATAAATCTTAATAATTTATAATAAAAAATAAATAATTAAGATTTTATATAGATAATAAATGTAAAAATTATATCTAAGTGAATCTTAACTTATATATTTATCCTTCTAACTTCTTTCTTCTTTCTGAACCTCAAGGCCTCGATGAGAACACAATTACGCTTGCATGTTGTGGTGATGGATCCTATCATGCAGACGGTTGTGGCCATTTGGATAAGAAGGGCTGCAGTGACCCTTCTGCTTATGTGTTTTGGGATGGTATGCATAACACTCAGCAGATTAATCAGAAAATAGCTCAAATCTTTTGGAATGGACCCAAAAATATGACGACTCCTCAAAATTTGCAGACTTTAGCTGGTACCCAAAAACCCCAATACGATTTCTCTGTCAATGCTAATGAATTAATTAGTATTCGTCAGCAGGTTAGGGTTATTAGGACGGAGACACAAGTTACTCGGATTGAGGAAAAAGTAACTTTCGCAACTTAGTAATTAAGATGCTTGTTCCACCGAGCTCTTGGTTTCTCGTTCTCCACTACAAAGTATCCAAAATAAGATATACCATCTCTAGCTCTATAGGTTGATGGTTGTTTGTCAGTGTATCCAACTCATGTATTGTGTATTATTTGTTCTTATAGAACAATGTGCTTTGTACTATTGCCTTAATGTGTGACTCTTTCCATTTCTTTCTTTTAATTCAAAACTTAATTAATTATGGTGAAAACAAATAGCATATTGCTTTTATATTGCAGTATGCATACAAAACAACAAAATTTTCAATGTAAAAATGACTTGAAAGAACTAATTTGGTAATTGAAGGAAACTAACTTAATTTCTTTAGGGGGCTGGGACATCGAAGGATAGGATTGAAGGAAGAAGCCAAAATGGCTTTAATTGCACATTTACCTTAATATGTCTCTAGAATAGTGGACCTTTTGTTGCATTCTCTTTTTCCTTTGTTCTTTCTTGCTTTCCTAGCTAGTGTCTATTGGAGAACAAACCAAGTGCAGCAATCAAGTAAATCCAGGCTGCAAGATTGAAGAGATTCAAGGACATAAGCATTAGGAGAAAATCAAGGAGAGCAATATCAGAGAAGAAATCATTCAAGTCAGCAACGGTAAAGAAGTTAGTCCAACTCCTAAAAATGAGGGAAATATGGAGACTAATAGAGTAATTCTAGAGAGAATTCAAACTAAAATAAAAGGAAAGAATACAATAATAATCCCAATATGACTATTGGTCACTAATGTATTCTGCATTCTTTGTATCTGATATTGATAGTAATGATTCCTAAAATCATGCCACAATATAAGGTGTTGTAAAATATTATAAATAGTGGAAATATATCTTTCTCTCCTCACCTCAAGAGAAACTTTCATTGATTTTGGCTCTATAAACTTTTTAGTGTCCTCTTCTTAGTGAATGTAAATCAATGAATTCTTTTTCTTTTTTTGTTTATACATAGAAATTAGGAATTGAATTTTAAATCTATAACTAAGAACACAAGTAATTTTATTAATGGATTCTCGTTGATTCAAGAGAAAGAAGGCTTAAAAAATGTTAGAGTCTCATTTCATTCTCATTCTGAGACCAATACACTTTTACTTTCCCCTTTTTTTCCCTCTCCATCTTTTCTATATAAAATGCAGGGACAGAGATGGGGGCTGGGGGTAAACATAAGCATGGTCCAGATTTTATTCAACACAGCAGATAATTTATCTAGACTTTGGGTCATATGAGATAAAAAAATAAAAATAAAAAATAAAAATTGGACCATAGGATACTAAACGTAGTCTTAACTAATGGAACATTTTCTTAGCTCCCTAGAAAAAATACTAATGAAACATTGGTTCAGTAATTAAAGATATTCTAAGCACTAGAAATTAAGTCCTAGTATTGAGCAATGTTATAGCCACCAATAAAAATATTATGACTATAAAAATTGTAAAATATTATTTTTAAAGCTACGAATTTTGTTTAATTTGATTGATAAAAAAATTAATAATTATAAATGTTAATTAATAACTAATAAAAATAATTAATATTTATTAATTAAAAAATTAAAATCAATTAATAAATTGATATTTTTAGACCCTACTTAAGAATAAAAAACTAAAATTTTAGTAAATATTATTTTTATAGTAATAATAATCATATCCGGTATCAAAGGACATAGAGTGAGTGGCGGATAATGACCCCTCCACCCACTCCATCATGGATCTATTTCCTTGTATCCCAATTCCCCTCCCTCAAATGT